AATATATCGACTAGGTGAAGGTCCTGTTGAAGACACATGCCTACAGGGGAGATCCCTCTGGATGAACAAAAGGGGAACAGGCAGCACTAACCAAGGCAACAGGTGGTGAATCCACTTTACTTCTGGGCTAAACTGTCTTTCCCTTTATGTGGTTTTCTCTTCAAGACCACACGGCAGCCTGCAGTTACTTCGGGCACTGGTTCAGTTCTCTTTCTGATACCAAAGCCATGCTAAGAGCCTCTGGCACCATATTCTCCACTTATTTAGAGAAGAGTTTGGGCCTGCAGCAGGCTGGGGGCAAATACCACAGCTAGTACCCGATGAGGAGAGGAAGGCACATGGTTCTGGTAATCCTTTCACACCATGGCCTGCACCTCCTGCTCTTCCTGGTCCCTACTTTGAATTGAAGGTTTTAATCCCCCCATCCCCAAAGTTTTGCTGGGAACATCATTACTCAGAGCTTCAATGTTCTCCCGGACTGTAGGTTTTCCTACTGTTTAATTTCTCCTTATTCCCAATTCCATCTGCTGTCTATATTCCAGAAATCACAGTAGTTCCCTTTATCTGTAGTTTAATCTTTCGTGATTTCAGTTACCAGTGGTCACTATAGCCTAAAAATATTAAATTAAAAATTCCAGAAATAAATAATTCATAAGTTTTAGATTGCCCACCATTCTGAGTAGCATGATGAAATCTAGCACCGTTCCATTCCATTCCCTCTTCATCACAAGAAGACAAAGGGCGAGTATGGTACAGAAAGATATTTTGAGAAGGGGGAAAGTGAGAGGCTAATAATGAATACAAAGTTATAGCTAGACAGAAAAAATAAGTTATATCGGTATATAGTCAACACAGGAATCTATAATTAACAACGATTTACTGCATATGTTATCAAACAACCAGAAGAGAGATCAAATGTTCACATCACAAAGAAATAATTAAGTTTTATAATGATGAATATGCTAATTACCCTGATTAGATCATCACGCATTGTATACACATACTGAAATACAACTCTGTACCCCATAAATATGTACAATCAATACGTTTCAATAAAAAAATTAAAGAAAAAAGAACAGTACAGACACACATACACAAAAATATATTTAGGAGGGGACCACATTCACATAACTTTTATTACAGTATACTGCTGTAATTGTTCCATTTTATTATTACTGTTGTTAATCTCTTACGGTGCCTAATTTACAAACTAAACCTTACCACAGGTATGTATGTATGGGAAAACAACATAACATACATAGGGTTCAGTCCTATCCGTGGTTTCAGGCATCTACATACATCTTCGAATGTATCCCCCACAGATAAGGGAAATTCTTCATCTACTGATAACATCCTTGCCCTGTTTTCTATCTCAGTTTTAGGTTCATCACAATTTTCATAGTTCTTCTGCCACGTAAATAGAACTTTGGGAAGTAAAGGAAGTATATGTGTGACCTCAGGTCATCACCTTGAACTGGAAGTCTTAAGTGTGTTTTTACATCAGATCTTTCCAGCTTATTTGCTAAGTTCAAGAAATACTGACAAGCATTGAAGGCCAGGTCTAAGCAGTGTGACACTGATGTGATCTGGGAGCCTTCTGGAACTTTAATAATATATGTAACACTGTTTGATATTATCCCACAAGTCACTAATGCTCTATTCATTTTTTTTCAGTCTTTTCTCTCCCTGTGCCTCAGATTGGATAATTACTGATTTATCTTCAAGGCACTGGCTCTTCTATATCTCTAATTTGCTGCTTAGATGATTCAGTAAACCTTTTATATTAGATGTAACATTTTTCAGTTCTATAATTCCATTATTTTTTAATAGTTTTTATTCCTCTGCTGAGATTTGCCATTTGTACCTGCATTACGAGTGTATTTTCCTCTGCATCCTTGAGCACAGTTACAATAGCTGCTTTAAAATCCTATCTACTAGGGCTGGCCCGTGGCTCACTTGGGAGAGTGTCATGCTGATAACACCAAGTCAGGGGTTAAGATCCCCTTACCAGTCATTTAAAAAAAAATCCTATCCACTAATTCCAAAGTCAGAAAGAATCATCCCGGGGTAAATGAAGAGTGACTACTAATGGGTACAGAGTTTCTTTTTGGGATGATGAGAAAGTTCTAAAATTGATCTGTGGTTATGGTTGTTAAAACATTCCACAGGAGATAATCTTGATTTCTTAACTAACAACACCTCCTGTCTTCAAGTCCCCTATACAAAGCACTGACTTAGCATCTATCCAAAATGCTAGAAATTGCCCCCTTGCTAGAAAAAAAAAAAATTTAACTCCTACCAGACTAAGATATAACAACTAAATGCAATGTGTGAAATTTGTTTAGATCTTGATTCCTATTTTTAAAAACACTATAAAAGACATTTTCAGGACCACTGGGAAAATCTGAATATGGGCTATTAGATGATACTAGGGAATTATGACTAATTTTACTAGATCTGGACTTAGTATTGTGGTTATGTGTTGTTTAGAAGTTGCATGTTGAAATACATAGGGGGTGAGTGTCATGAGGTCTACAGCTTACTGTAACCTAGTTCAGTTAAATACACATGTAAGGAAGGTGAACACTGTAAAGCTTTAAGAATTGTCAAATATAGGCAGTGGGTGCTAACTGTACTATTCTTTATTTCTGTATATTTGAACTTTTGATTTCAAAAAACTGAGAGAAGCAAGATGACTAAAAAAAAAACTATTCATGATTTTCAGCCATTTCCTAATTAAAATGCACACAATGTTACTGTAACGATTTGTAAAATTTCGACCCAGCAATCCAGATCACCTAACAGTTTTCTAGTATTGCTCCAATTACCACAAGGTGTCACTCTTTCCATGCTCAAAACAAAAGTTTGCAAGAGAAAAGGATACAGTATTATTTCCAGTACATTAAATGGAAAGTACACTGAACTTCGAAGTTAATCTAGAACCTGTTACGCTTAAGTAGAATCAGATAAATCCTCTCAAGTCACAATACAAACTAAACATAAATGTTAAACTAAAAGGTTTTTATAACTTTAGATGAGAAAGTTCATCTCTATGACTCTACCATATTCTCCAAAAGATACAGTCCTATAGTCAGCTACTTTAGTACACAGAGGCCTCAGAATGAACCAAATAACCTTGGAGTCAATTTACAGATGCTGGGTCAGCTAGCCAGAGCTCAGAATTGGCAAAAGACACATTCAGGGGCTGCTCCAGCAAATGACCCACTATCTCCTAGCATCCACACATGGGATCTGGTTCAATGCCACACTTGCCAATCAATACCTGGTCAAAGAATAATACACTAGTAGAGCCCAAAGGAGTAGTAGCATGAACCAAAAATTTAAAAAGCTGTAACCAATGAATTGAAAAAGATTACCCTCATCTACTTATCCATCCCCACCCGGGCAATATAAAAGTATTCTATGACTTAAAATTTGTTAACATTTGAGGAATCTAGATGAGGAATACATAAGAATTTTTTTAATGTATTATTTGTAAATAATTTCAAACTTATAAAAAGTTACAAAAATAGTACAAGGTACACCCACATACCATTTTACTCAGATTTGCCTATTGTTAACAGTTTAGCCATTTGTTTTTATCAGTTGCTATCTCTATCTATCTATCTCTAATTTTTTCTCTGGAGCCATTTGAGGATATATATCATGGCCTTTTACCCCTAAATATTCAGTATGTGGTTCCTAAGAACAGGGATACTCTCTTACATAAATACAGTAATTAACATCATAAATTATACCAATATGATACCTATATCTAATCTATCATCCACATTCCAATTTTGTGATAATGCCCTTTTCACAGTATTTCCTCCCTGCAGTACCACACCTGTCTAGGCACGGGTATAATATTTAATTGTCATAGCTTCTTAGCCTCTTTTAATCTGGAACATTTTCATAGCTTTTGTCTTTTGTGACATTGGCATTTTTAAAGACTATAGCACTATTCCCCCATGCCTCTGCTCTTAGAATATTCCACATTTTTTATCTAATATTTCTTTGTGATTAACTGAAGTTATACCTTAGTCAGACTATGGCCTAGCCAATGATGAGTCTAAATCTATGTCACTCACATAGTCATCCAAAGTATTACCCAATTTTTCCACTGTGCAGTTACTGGTTTTTTTCCCTCATTTGCATGCAAGTATCATATTCCTAATCAGAATTTCTATACAGCAATGCTTTGTTCTATATTTTCAACTCTGATAAGTCTGAAATAATGAGAAAATAAAAGTTAAAAAAAATTTTAACATAAAAAATAAAAAACTTAAAACCTGAGTTTTAATTCTACCGTGTTATAAAAATATTCATGATAAGAAAGAAAATCAGAAAAAGAAATAAAAACTGAACCTAATGGGGCCGGCCCAGTGGCGCACTGGATAAGTGCGCCGCTTGGGAAGTGCGGCGGCGCTCCCGCCCGAGCGTTCGGATCCCACATACAGACCGGTTCCTGCTCACTGGCTGAGCGAGGTGCGGGAGCAACACCGAGGGTTGCGATCCCGTTGCCGGTCCCCGGTCCGGTACGGGGGCAACACTGAGGGTTGCGATCCGTTGCCGGACATGGAAAAAGACAAAAAGACAAAAAAAACCCAAAAAAACTGAACCTAAGATTATGCAGGATCAATATTTTCGTCTCAGTAAATTTGCAATCACTAGAAGTAAATTATAAATGGCTTTTTTAAGATCTAGGAAATAACATTCCCATTAGCTTTTCACTTAAATGATTTTCCTTAATTAGCTACAATTTTAAAGTAATGCTTCTACTTAACAGTTCTACTGTAGGAACAAAACAGCAGTCCAAAGACTTTCAAATAATGTGCGAATTATACTTTTGCCATATTCATATTTCTGCAAGCCAGCTGTGTGCTACTGCCTTTGGACTACTGTGCCAGTCAGAATTACCAGTTTTTACTAAATGCAAACTATCTTCACATGTTAAAAGGGTAGGACAAAAGGGAATGAAAAGTTGTCTCATCACTTACTCTCTAAATCAGAAATAATGAGGTTGTCATGAAGTTTCACAGCTCGATGTTGTTCTACTTCGTCCTCAAGTTCAAAGATGGTTTCTTTCATGTCGCTCCTTTCTGTCTCTTTTTCTTCTAGCTCTGATCTTAATTTTTCTAATGTCATGTTCAAATCTTCAATTTGTTTCTTAGCTTCTTCTTGGAAGGCTCGGTATTCATCTTCCACCTATATAAAATTGTTTGTGCAGATATAGAAAAGTAAGAATTGTTCTAAGATAAATTCTAGAATTGAGGTACACACTATTTCAAATGGAAGCTAAGCATAAGGTACTATGCATGAACTAAAACCACCTGTATAATAACTGTTAGAAAGCATGAAAAAGGCTCTTGCTTAGCCCTCACCATGTGATTGCCTGCATTGCCAAAGGACTCTGTAGAGAGTTCCCACCAAGAAGAATGTGCCCCCTGACGTTGGATTTCCCAACCTCTAAACTGTAAGAAATAAATTTTGTTTCTTCATAAATTACCCAGTTTCAGGTATTCTATTATAAGCATCAGAAAATGGACTAATACACACTATAAAACTTTAAGCAACCACTAAGATAACAAAACAAAGATGTATATCTAAGAGAGCAACAAAGGAAATGCAATAAAATAAAAATGCAATAAAATATTGGCTAATCCAAAAAAAGCATGAAAAAGCACTCTACAATAAGATTATAGATAATATGTTAAGCATAAACTTTTGCTTCATCCCTGAATGAAATTATATTGACATATCATTGAACTTAACCAGATTCTTTACAAGGAAATTTCTGAAATTTTCCCTCCTCCAAAGTTTGGACCGAAAGCATGCATTTGATTAATGATTAACATTCTTTCCTACAAAAATGATGTCTTCTTTGTGACAGTTTCAATATCAAATTGAAAATGGAAATATATAAAAATTCTCAAATAGTGTCTTTTCAGAAGTATTAGTTCATAGTGCCCTCAACATTCATACTCCAAGAAATAATATGTATCTCCTATAATTCTAAAAGTGATTACTAGAAAAATTTCTAGTCTAAACTATTCAAATTTTGGCCAAAGATATACTAATACTTCTTACTTTAAAAATAATTGCACTGGGGGCTGGCCAGTTAGTTCAGTTGGTTAGAATGTGGTACTGATAACACCAAGGTCAAGGGTTCAATCCCTGTATTGGCCAACAGCCAAAAAGAAAAAAAAAAAAAAGATCCTAAAAATCATTGCACTAAAAAAACAAATAAATAAAAAGTGAGACACAATAATTAGATAATTCATGGAAATAAACACTTCATCAGCAACCACTCAGGGTACAGAGCCCCAGCCAGAATGGCAGCAGCCCTGGGCAACACGTCTGACTGAGTACTCACTATTATGCTGCATTCCTATAAAACAAAGGGACTCAACTTATGACCTCTCGGGTCCCTGCCAGCAACAAATCACAGACCTCTAAGAAATAGGACGCTCTATACTCCACATATATTTTTAACTCACAACAAACTCTATTTGAAAAACTACAACTATAGCAGGATGAGAAGTGGCAGGCATTGCTGATCCTATGGCTAATCCATCTATCTTACACTAAAATATGTTAGGGATAAGGATGCAAAATTGCATGACCCACTCCATGGGCATATCCCATAAGCAAGGACAAATTCTGGTGTTAGCTGTAACTCTAACCACATCCTCTCAAAGACAAGAAAACAGTAATGAAATGCAAGTAAGAGTGACATTATTATAAGAATACTTTTCACTCTATTCCAATAAAAGAAAATAATTCCCAAACTTTAAAAAAATCTGCTTAAAAAAAAAGCTAATGAGGGCTGGCTGGCTAGCTCAGTTGGTTAAAGTGTGGTGCTGATAACACAAGGTCCTGGGTTCGATCCCTGTACTGGCCAGCAGCCAAAAAAAAAAAAAAAAAAAAAAAAAGCTAATAATACACCAAACAAATGATCCTGATTTTCAGTATGCTGTGTATGGCAGCTGCATAATGCTGATCCAGAACATTATTGTCTATTTAAACAATACCTTAGCAATGGTGTCCTGCAACCGATTGGCATCGTTTCTGGTATGAGCCAGATCTTCTTGCAGGTTACTAGCCAGAGTCTCTGCTTTTTCTTTGTCCAGCCTAACACTCTCCAGGAGATCCTGAATATCAGATTTGTCTCCAGAGTTATGGATAGAATACAGCTCTGCCACTTTCTGCTTTTCATTCTCCAGCTGGGCCTTCAGACGATTCATCTCTATCTGGTCACTGGCCACTGTGGCTTTGTACTCCTCTAACGTGGCTGCCAAAGCTGCTTTACCCTTCTGCTCAGACTCAATAATTCGCTCCATGTGGTGACTGCGCTCTTTGAGTGCCCCTATCATTTCTTGAGCTTCCTTGTTGTCTTGTTCTGCCATTTTCAAAGTATTGCTTAAATGCTGCTGGACACCAAGGAGCTGTTCTCGTTCAAAACGGGCATTCTCAGCTAGGTCCATATACCGTTGTTCTAATTCCATATAGCGTCCACTTTTTACATCTTCATCTATAACATAAGAAATGTGATGTTCATCTAGAAGGGAGCGGAAATATTCAATCTGTCGACTAAAGTGTTCCAATTTATCGCTTTGCTGACATAAAGATTCCATAAGAATAACCTTCTCTTCTCCGAGCCTTTCATTTTCACTATTCAGTTCTTGGGTGATCTGTTGTAAATCAGCTAGCTCTTGCAGAGTTGCCTGAAGTTCCTCACTCGTACTATGCTGGTTCTCTTCCATCTGGTGTATCCGTTCTGTCAAGCAAGCGACAGACACTTCACTGGCGTTCCCACTGCTCCCCTTCCGAGAGCGCTCTATGCTCGGGATGCCTTCAGACTCTGAGGATGACGGTGCATCCAGTGCATCATCGCTTGATGTGAGGGGCTGGTAAACCTCACTGCACTCACTGTCTAGGTTGTCCATAGAGTTACTGTGCTGATGGGCCATGAGAGTATTTTCATCTTGACTCAAGAGATCTTCCACTGACCCAGGGGCAGAGCCTTCCACTGAAGAAGTCAGAGTTCCTCCTCCATCGCTCTGGTTACCAGGGGCAATTTCTGGGCTCAGGGACTGATAGCCAAACAGTTTTTCAGAATTGTCTAACCTCTGCTCTAGGGAAAAGCCCAATGCATTCAACCTGTCCTTTAACATTCTGTTTTCATTTTTCAGCTGGTTGAGTTCTTCACGAATGGCAGTATTCTGTTCCTGTAACTGCAATAAAGTGGACTCAACATCAGTTGGCTGGTGAGAGATAATGGTTTCCTTCTCAGATTTTTCATCGCCCTCAGAGTGATCCTCATTAATGCCCAGCTGAGCACGCATGTCTCGGAGTTCATTTCTCAAGTGTAAAATTTCCACATCCTTTGTTTTTGCCAGCGTGAGAAGATCTTTCACTTTGGCTTCCAAAGCAGCTTTGTCACTGATCTGATTGTCTGATTTAGACTTGCTCATGCGAATATCACATTCTGTAGCAGTGCGACTGCGGGAACGTTTAGCCAGTGCCACGTCATTAGCTCCCTGACCTGCAGAAGGTAGTTTTTTGCTCTGGTTTAGTCGAGTACGTTCACGTAATCTTTCTCTAGTAGAACTGGATTCTTTATTACCTGCAGAAGTGCTCCGCTTGGTTGAAGAACTCGTGCCTATGGGTTTGAAACAAAGAATTTAAGGCAAAAATATCAGCAATAAAAAAGCATATATAGGGCTGGCCCGGTGGTGCACTGCTACAGTGTGCCGCTTGGGAGCGCGGCGGCGCTCCCGCCGAGGGTTCGGATCCCATATACAGACCGGCCGCTCACTGGCTGAGCGAGGTGCGGGCGCAACACCGAGGGTTGCGATCCCGTTGCCGATCCCGTTGCCGGTCCCAGTCCGGTACGGGCGCGACACTGAGGGTTGCGATCCGTTGCCGGTCACGAAAAAAGACAAAAAGGAAAAAAAAAAAAAAAGCATATATAGGGCTGGCCCGGTGGTGCACTGCTACAGTGTGCCGCTTGGGAGCGCGGCGGCGCTCCCGCCGAGGGTTCGGATCCCATATACAGACCGGCCGCTCACTGGCTGAGCGAGGTGCGGGCGCAACACCGAGGGTTGCGATCCCGTTGCCGATCCCGTTGCCGGTCCCAGTCCGGTACGGGCGCGACACTGAGGGTTGCGATCCGTTGCCGGTCACGAAAAAAGACAAAAAGGAAAAAAAAAAAAAAAAAGCATATATAGTTCATGCACCAGGACTAATGAGATAAAATCTAGGATCTACACATTGATTTAGACCTACAATAATCTTGCCTTACAGTCTGTTACTTTAAAATTCAGTTTCCTCAAAACCAGATCTTTCATCTTTTAACTATCAATGGAAAAGAAGTTATACACTTTATTGAACAGTGTAAAAGGATAAATTTTATTGAATGTGAATTATATGTCAATAAAACTGTTGTTTAAATTATACACATTAACTTGAATCCAAAAGCAGGGCTTTAAACAGTTGGCCAGGGGCATAATATTCTAGGACAAACTAGATGAAGATGATTCTAGAATTAGCTGGTCAGATGGCAAACTAACTATAAACAGATGGTGAAAGGAGAGCACAGGTGGAAAAGAAGGGAAAGGCATCCTATGGACAAACCAAAAATCTAAGCTACCTACAAGAAACACAAAAATTATGACTAAAGTAAATGCAAAAGTTTCCACACCATAGAATACCACATACATAGTAACAATAATTATAACAACAATGCCTAACACATACCTAGCACTTATTCCAAACACAGTCATTAACACTTCATATACATTAATTTATACAAGCCTCATCAAAACTCTGAGGTTGGTGCTATTATCATCCTGTTTCACAGGTGAAGAAACTTTGACAAGGAGATGTAAAATAATTTGCCAACTTCCCATAGGTAATAAATGGATGAGCCAAGATTCAAACTCAGGCAGTCTGGCTCCAGAATTTGCAACTTAACCAGTATGTTATATCGCCTCTCAAAATGTTAAGAAACAATGACGCGTTAATGTTAAGTAATGAGATGTGTCGATCAAATCTGTTTCACAAATCACACTATTACTTAGCTGCTAAAATTTTAAACCTGTCAAAACAATTGACATGATCACTTATTGAATACAAGAAGAATAGGAATATGTTAAAACACCCATAAATACTTAAGAATTAATTAGAATTTTTTCATTTTTAAAAATAAGATCTAGATATAATCAGTAAACATTTTTAAAGAACCTCCTGGTTCTCTGTGCAGTGGGCAGCAGGCTGTGGAGGTAAGAGGGAGCAAATGGTCTACATGATGCAGGAAGATAGCCACTAATCTTGCCATTGATGGGGTGTAGAGGAGAGGGAATTCAGGCTCGTCACAAGTTAGACAAGGATGAGGAAGTAGAAGTGAGCACAGCGGAGAAAGGAAAAGTAAGGTTACACTGTTAATGGAAGCCGTAGGGGAATGTTTATATAGAGCCCTGAACATCAGGCAGAATTCAGTGAGTCACAGCAAGTCAATAAATGTTCTTGAGCAGGGAACAAACATAACAAAAAGCATTTTTATCGAGATGAATCTAGAGGACAGTAAATGGAACATCTGAGAAAGAAAGCAGAGTAGAAGGGCCTATATTCAGGGGGTGGCACTAAGAACAGAGAAGGGATAATAAATCTGTGACAGGTTTTAAAAGCAGACGTAACAGGATTAGAAGAAACAACTGTATATGGAGGCCAAAAAAGGAAAAGGATGATATAACTTGTTCCCCCCAACATTAATTCCCTTCCCCATTTCTGTAAATGGCACCATCATCCTTATCTAAACCAAAAACCTTCCCAAGAAACAAAGATCTGTGCATGTTTGATAGACAAAAGGGAAGGAGCCAATAAGGAGGGAAGGACTGATAATGCCCCCAAATGAAAGGAGAGGTAAAGAAACAAGAGGAGAGGAAGAGACCAAACACAAAGAAGAAAAATCTCCCTTGTGGGATTACTATGATGAGTGAGTAGACAGAATAATCTGAGGTAAAGATAAGTGAATTAGTACCTTGAAATCAAACACCTTAGGGAACTCATTGGGAGTAAGTAAAGGTAGAGCAGGTGACTGAAAAATTAAGAATGTTGTTATGGGTTGAATTGTGCACCACTCCCTTGCCCCAATTCATATGTCAAAGCCCTAAACCCCAGAACCTCAGAATGTGACTAAATCTGGAGATGGGGTAATTAAGTTAAAGAGGTAACTGAGGTGAAATGAAGTCATGAGGGTGGGCCCTAATCCAACATGACTGGTGTCCTTATAAGAAGAGGATATTAGGACACAGATACACACACACAGAAACAACCCTGTGAAGACACAGCAAGAATGCAGCTGTCTGCAAGGCAAAGAAAGAGGCCTCAGGAGAAAGCAAATCTGCTAACACTTTATAATCTCGGACTTCCTGCCTCCAGAATCGGGAAATTTCTGCTGTTTAAGCCATCCAGTGTGTGGTATTTTGTTATGGCAGCCCTGGCAAACTAACACAGATATACAAAGCCATACTAAGGCTACTGATCCAGGGAGGCGATAACTGAATCCTGAGATCAGGTGGTAGTCAGCAAGGAACTATGTGTGCAAACACATGGAATCTTTTCCAGAACAATTCTAAAGGCAGGAAATAGGAAGAGATACAGATGGCAATAGAGTAATTTTCTTCTTACCACATAAGCTGTAGTATTAAATGTAGTGATGACCCCAGGCTTGGGAGTATAAGACCTATAAAGTTCAGTCCTTGCTCCACCACCAGCCTGTGGCCTAGTTCAAACTGGGTCCCCAATAAATATTTACTGATCAAATGAATGCATGGCCTTGGGCAAGATGCTTAAGTTTTCTCATCTCTAAAATGAGGATACTCATAATCTCCACCTCAGAGAGCTACAGTAAGAATAAAATGAAACAATGCCCACAAAGCACAAAGTAAGGAGGTAAATATTCCCTCTTGTTATTCACACCACAGCTATATTATAATTAATAGTGGGGCATGACATAGGATAGAAAGAAGAGTCTGCAGGTCAAAGCAGGAGAAAGGACAATAGGTAAACCAAAGAAGGGATAAGAGCCTAAATGATGATAGAAGAGGACCTGCTATCATTTTTGCCAATCTGCTTTCATAAGCTTTATTACAAACATGATCTTATATTTACTACAAATTCTACAGTTTTTTTCCTACAGATGTAAAAAGTAAAACATGATAACATTACTCCTATAACGTACAACGAGTTAATTTATAAACTCTATCAAATCTAAAAACAAACAGCTGCTAAACGAAGAAAGAATGGGAGAATTAGAATAAATGAATATAGGCACTGATCAAAGGACAACCAGAAATATCCTGCCTCCTGACGGACAGACGCACCATCACCTATAAAGGAGTCTGTGATAAAAAAATTTTTTTTAAAAAAGGAACCTGAACCTGTCCCATCAGGGCTCTGGATCTAATGCAACTTACAGTAAACAGAGAGGACAAAGGATAATGATTGAGGATATCATGGGGATGTTATGACATCAAAATCTAGATCCTGGGAAACTCTACAGGTCAAATGAACAGTTTCTAAAAAAAATTAAATTACAAGAAAAAAGGGGGTAAACCCATAGATTAAAAAAAATCTTAAGAGGCACATCAGCCAATTATTATATGGGAATCTTATGGGAATCTTGATCCAAACAAAAATAGACAGTAAAAAAAAAAAAAATCCCATCATTTATGAGACTGGGGGAAATTTAAATATTTATTGAATATATGATTTAAGAAATGATTATTAATTATTTTAAGGACTGATAATGGTATTGTGATTATGTTTTTAAAAGAAGTCTTATCTAATATAATGAAATAGTCATTGATGAAATTATATAAAGTCTAAGATGTTTCAAAATAATAAGGGAGGGTGGGTTTCAAGGAGTTAATATTGGCTATGAGTTTATAATGGTGATGAGTACATGAAATACCAATCTGTCTGCTTTTGTATATGTTTGAAATTTTTAATAATGAGATGGAACACCTTAAACACCAATGCACTCTGCCTATTCAAACAAAAAAGGAGTTGAAATCTTAGACTGAATGCTACCCATACCTGTGTTAATCTTGGATTTGTTCTCCACGGTTGTCATGGCAGGGACAGATGCCGAAGGCGGTGCAGATGGGCAGGTGCTTTTCCTTCCTTTAACACCATTAGTCACCGTTACCCCACCAGCCATTCCAGCTAAAAGGTCATCACTGCTCTTGGTCTAGAAGCAACAAAAAATAAAAACAAATGGACTAGATGAAGCAAGATTAAACAATATTGAGACTAAACAAAGCTCTTGATTTTGATACTGAGTTCAAGAGCTCTGCAAAGACTTTCTGAGAGTAAACAGCACACCATACTGTCCTACAGAAACAGAATCTCTTAACAGGTTTATAAATAATCACACCCTTCTTTTTAAAATACAAAAATCATACACATAATCAAAGATTTTATAGAAGACTGCTGGGTGCCCACACGTGCCAGATTCAGTGAGTAACTGGAAAAAGTGAAGACATTATCCCTGTTACTCCTTCTAGGACATGACTTATGAATAAGAATCATTTTAGTGATGCCATACAGGCTATTGCAAGAAGTTCTACAATGCCACAGGAAAGTGTCACCTTGCAACTGCTAGAGAGAAATATCATTACAAGTCAAATCTTCATTGCCCTAAAGTGATTCAATGATGGAGCCAATATCTAAAAGAAATTATTCTGAAATTTATCTTTCTTACCCTATCTAATTCCCTAGCAGTCAAGTTTAAGCCAAAATTGAAAAGAAGATCTTTTTAAGGCCCGGGTGATATATTAATTAAAAAACTATAGATTTTATGGTTAGAGGAAGGATTAGTCTGGCTAAATTATCACACTACTTAAGAAAGACCATTTGCAATATTTCTTTATATTTTATAAAGACAATTTTAAAATATAACGGGCTTTTTGTGCCGGCCCCGTGTCGCACTCGGGAGAGTACAGCGCTGGGAGTGCAGCGACGCTCCCGCCACGGGTTCGGATCCTATATAGGACTGGCCGGTGCGCTCACTGGCTGAGCGCAGTGCGGGCGATACCACACCAAGGGTTGTGATCCCCTTTCCGGTCACAAAAAAGACAAAAAAAAGACTTTTTTTTAAAAAGAAAAACACCATGGATAATGGGACTGATTGTAAAATTATTATTTAAGAAAAATAGTGAAGAAATCTGTTTTTACTTCTCCTAAAAATGAGAATACAGAGGAGTTAAAGATCTGTTGCGGGGTGGGGGGGACAAAACAAAAAATTAATTTTTAATAAAAGAACCAAATAGTTTTCTCCCTTTAAGGTGAAGGTATAAGATAGCCAATTGATTTATCTGTCTTCTATCTGGAACCATGCTCTCTCTCAGATAACCATAATGAATTCATTTCTACAGGTTAAAATAAATGGCTCATAAGTACCTAATTTCTAAATTCTCTTCTGGTTCTAAATGTCAGTGACTTCACATAGAGTAGACTTTGGTTCTCATCATTCAATTATGAAAGTTATAATACAGTACCACCAGGTAGGTCAATCTATCTTATTTAAAAAGAGGCAGAAAATAGATCAATGTTTTTAATGAATTAAACAGAATTAAACTCTGATAATTAAGGATTATCACATTAAGAGAAATGAAGAACATATAAAGAGGAAAAGGGACACTGCATTAATCATGAAAGACTGTTTATACTCTTTAAGGGCTGTTTCTGTTAATGAAAACTGTTCATCAACTACAATGCAAAAAAATTGGAAATCAAAAGTCATATCTCTGGGCCGGCCCAGTGGCACACTCGGTAGAGTGCAGCGCTTGGGAGCGCAGTGGCGCTCCCGCCGAGGGTTCGGATCCCATATGGAGACCGGTCGCTCACTGGTTGAGCGCAGTGCGGGCGCAACACCGAGGGTTGCGATCCCGTTACTGGTCACGAAAAAAGAGAAAAAGGAAAAAAAAAAAAAGTCATATCTCTTTCCTGTCAATCTGCCCCTCATCTATTAGTCAATAAATAAATTCAACATACTCATATTTTCAAATCATCTTTTATATTCCATTAACAAAGATTATCTCTGAGCTAATTTTTCTTTCTCTGTAAGTTAAATATTCTTTCCTTTCGTAACCATTACCTGAAAACCACCATACATAGTTATGTGAAAAGTGGCTTGATCATCCCCCTTCTCTGGCTACAATTTGTTACAAAAAGGCATTTAAGTTAAGCATACATTAAGGCACCAAATCACAAACTCTGCACTTATAATAATAAGATAGTACAGTACTGCCACAAGAATAAACCAGTGAAATAATAAAAAGTCCATAAACTATGTATATACAGACACTTGATTTATGACCAAGGAAGCCATGCAGAAAACACGGGCTTTCCAGTAAATAGTCCGAAGTCAATTGTATATTCATAAAAGGGGAGGAAGATGGAGTCAGGAATGAATCTTGAGGCCTATTTCACACCATATCAAAAATAAAGTCTAAGGTTTTCTAAATGTGACTCAAGATCCTGAATCATAAAACAGAGAACTGATCAATTTGACTACATAAGAATAAAAATCTAACACCTAGGTCAAGGGCTTAGATCCCTATACTGGCCAGCTGCCAAAAAAAAAAAAAAAAAAAAAAAAAAAAAAAAAAAAACTAAAAAAAAAATTTAATTAAAGAAAGGTTTTGGTTTTTTTTTTTTTTTGTCTTTTTCGTGACCGGTAAGGAAATCGCAACCCTTGGCTTGGTGTCGCCCGCACCGCGCTCAGCCAGTGAGCGCACCGGCCAGTCCTATATAGGATCTGAACCCGCCGTGGGAGCCTCGCTGCGCTCCCAGCGCCACACTCTCCCGAGTGCGCCACGGGGCCGGCCCTAATTAAAGAAAGTTTTAAAAATATTTTGCACGGCCAAATAAAAACATCATGAGAAAGTAAAAAAAAAAAATGAAAAAATGGGAAAGAATATTTACAACATCTCATAGATAAAGGGCTAAGATCCTTAACACATAAAGAACTCTTTAAAATTGAGGGGGAAAAGACCAAAAACCAAAAAGAAAAATGAGCAAATGAATGAACAATCACACACAATCAATACACATACACACACAAATACATAAAAAGATGATCAATCTAACTCATGATAAGAGGAATACAAATTAAGCAGCATTGAGATAGCACTTGTCACCTATCAGTCTGGCAAAAATGAAAAAGTATCACAACACGTTCTTTTTTTTTTTTTTTTCCCCTTTTTGTCTTTTTTCGTGTCCGGCAACGGATCGCAACCCTCAGTGTCGCGCCCGCACCGGACCGGGACTGGCAACGGGATCGCAACCCTCGGTGCTGTGCCCACCCCTCGCTCAGCCAGTGAGCGAAACCGGTCTGTATGTGGGATCCGAACCCTCGGAGGGAGCGCCACCACACTCCCAAGCAGCGCACTGTAGCAGTGCGCCACCGGGCCAGCCCACAACACGTTCTTTTTTTTATTTATTTTTTATTAGCATATTCATTGTTACAAATTACACTTGTTCCTTATGCCCCTTATCCAATCTCTACCCTTCTTCTTCTCCTTCCCTCCTTCCCCTTCCCCCTCTAATAACCATAGATTTGGTCTCTCCATCTGATAGATTAACTGTTCTTCTGTTGGTTTGTTGCCTAGATGATCTGTCCAGTACTGAGACAGGTGTGATCAAGTCCTCCCCTATTATCGTAAATTACATGCTTCTTCTATTACTCTGGAGTGTGCTTTGTGGAGAAAGAGGACCTCTTTTTTTTTTTTAGTCTTCACTGGTGCCTCTCTTTGTGTCAGTGTGCAGTTGAGAATCTGGCGTGCCATCTGCATAGTGGCTGTGACTGCTGCTATAAAGACTAGCTGCTTTTATGGTAGCCAAGGCAACTGTAGTGGCTATGGAGGACTACCTGCGTGAAAATGGTGTTTTTGGTGCACTCTTAACCTGGTTGTGGCTGCGTTAGGCTTCCCCCAGGACTCCACGCCTAAGGGCCCTATCAGGACCCCTGACAAAACATTGTTTGGGGAAGAAAGTAGGGAAACAGGCACTCCTATAAGTTGCTGGTGGGAATGCACCTTGACATAAGCCTTATGAGAGGAATCAGGCAATATCTAACAAAACTACATGTGCATTTATCTTTTGCCTGGGACCTCTACTTCTACGAATTTAACCTGAAGACACAACTTCAATGATATAAAAATACACATACACAAGGTTATTCACTGCAGAATTGTTTTTCATTTCAAAATATTGGTACATCTTAAATGCCTATACACAGGTAAGTGTACACATTAGTGAACATAAAGTATTAAACAGCTATAAAAAAGAATAAGCAGACTGCTACAAATTGGTATGGAGAGATTTCTAAAATACATCAAATGAAAAATAAGCAAAGCACAAAAGAATATCTTATACCACCTTTTGTGTAAGAAAAAGGAAATAAAAAAATATATGTGTATCTGCTCATTTATACAAAATGAAACAGTAAGGATTAACAAAAACCAAACTGTTTACATCCAGGGGGTGTGTAGGAACAGAGTAAGAAGGAATGAAGGAGGGAAGAGGCACTTCTCTGAATATATATTCCCATATAATTCTGACTTGTGTAACCATGTTAGTGTTCACATACTAAAAATTAATTCATTAATTAAACAAACAAGAGTGGGGGAAGCCTAAAATGGAATACAATAGGAACAATGTACGCAACAGTATTTCGAATGAATAACACAACCCAAGTATCTTTTGAACATAGTATTTTGACAATAAATCCTCAAACTTTCAAGCTAAAGACAAGAGTATAAACAAATATTGAACTCTAGTCAGTAGGTTTGTTTTTCACAGTGGTATGAGAGAGCAATTCTGAAACTATTTTCTGTATATTCTAGGATTGAGAAAATAAGTACTATAAATAGACTGTAGATAAAAGAAGTCAGGTTTGTCACTGTCAGAGAAAGGGATTATAATTATGGAACATGGAAAGGCTCTTATGCCCTTGTACATCAATGGAATTTTAAGTATCAGTGTGAATTCACACATTTTAGTGTAGAGAGAAACAGATACAGAAATTGATATAGATATGTGTGTATGCATATATGTGTGTGCGCATACCTATTTGTTTTTCCCAAAAGCAATGAGCATACCTAACTTCCAGCTTGGGTTTTTAAGTATCATCCTTTTAAGTACAAAACTTATTGTGCCGGATATTAAAGTGTTTACAGAACACAG